ATCTATAAATTCCTATTTTTTCACCGATTTTGAAAATTTGAATCTTCTGAAGGCATTTTTGATTCTCCTAACTTTTAATCAAATATTCGAATGTAATTTGGAGAAAAAATAATGGACTATTTTGATGGCAAAACTCTACAGCGGAAGAAGAGAGTGTGAAAGTTTTTTATTTCATTTCAAAGTTGAATAGGGCTCACTGGCTTAATTTTATACAAACAATTTAATTTCTTAAAAAGTTACGAATGGTTTCAAGAAGGTTTTAATTTTATTTTAATTTTGCTTTTAGCTGAATATAAATGGGAGAAGAAGGGTGTTTGTTTTTAGTGTAGTTGGACAGAGCCCTTGGTTATGATTGAATCCATAAAGACAAAGGAAAACTTGCTAAACTTTTGCACGATGTAGGCCTTGGGGCTTTTAGCCACTTGTTTGAACATGAGTTTCTTCCTATGATTCACAAGGGATCAGAATGGTCTCATGAGCAAATGCCTGTAGACGTGGTGGATCATATTGTAGATGTACATCATATTGAAATAGAATCCGAGGCTATAAAAAGAGTAAAGGAAATGATACTTGCTAGTTCAAAAGGCAATCGAGTTATTGGTTATAGATGCCTTATTGAAAGCATATAATTATCTAGAGATAGCATCTCATATACATGATCCTTCACAATATTGGAAGTTAGATGACACAATAATCCAAACTATTGAGACAGCTCCAGACCTAGAATTAAAGGAATCAAGGACTTGATCCTTCGCATTCGCCGAAGAGATTTTTATCAGTTTTGTAATGAGTATGCTATTCTCGAGGAGCAACTAGACAATTTTAAGGATGTCACTCCACAAGGTATTGTTTGTTCACAGAAAAGTGGCACTTAAAGAAGAGGATGTTGCAGTCACCAAGGTTTTTATTTTTTACATGGAAATGATTAATAGTGAGGTTATTCCAAAAAAAAAAGGGGGTGGTAAGGTTTAGTCCCAATCCCAAGTAATTAAAATAGAAATTGAGAGTTAAGAAAATAAAGATTTTATCATTTTCATTTTGCCTTTGTTCTATGGCCTTTGCTGGGATATTATTTATAGACTGCTTTGGGATCCCTACAGCTTATTTTTTGCCTTTGCTTTTCTCACTTTTCAGTAATTGTAAGCTAACGAGGGACTTGAGTCAAATACCATGACTCCTAAATCTGCATCTGGAGCTCAAAAAGAGAAAGAGAAAGAGAGAAAAAAAAAGAAAAAATAGTAGAGGCATTAATTCGAAGTCAGATTGGATAAACGAATAAATACTTTAATGAGAAGAGAAGGAAGGAACACCAAAAAATTTATTTGTTGTTTTATTGTTGATTTAAGTTAACAAATTTAATTCCGTAAACTTCTAATTTTTTTTTACAAAAAAAAAAAAGGATTGTTTGCTACGACTTTGGGCCTAGGGCCCAAATTTCGAAGTTTGCCTCAGGCCCCGCAAAGCACAGGTACGTCACTGCCCACCCGTGACACACCAAATCAAAAAATGCGGCTGAGAAGGACACCAAAGGTCAAATTTCTGATAGAAAATTTGTGCATTAAGCTAATGATGAGCTGGCAACATAGGAAACGTTTGATGCCTTCATCTTACTTTCTCAGATTAGATGAAGAACTAGAGAAACAAGAAATTTAGGCCATCCCGAACTAGATTTCTTTGATAGGTTACTTGTAAGGTTGCTTATCTTAGCGTTGTTGAATTACTTATTAATGTCACTGTCAGTTCAATGTCAAACCTACAACATGTTTCTACTGTAGGGATTTGGACGATCAAATTTTAGGTAGTGACGGATTTGGGGAGACTGGGCTGGGCTGTAGTCCCCTCCACTTAAGCCAAGAAGTTTTTTTAAGAGTATTATTATTTTTAATTAAAAATTAGTTTTTTATGTGTAATTTTTTTTTTCAAGTATTAGCCCAGTCTTGAATCTAATCTTGGATCAATCCTTGTTTTAGGCAGTTTTACCCTTCAAAATTGGTTTTTGTGTATTTGAGCTCACAATGACTGGGCAGCGTTGAACAACTTTGATGCATCTCCTTCTTTGAATCAGATGAAGAACTAGAGAAGCAAGAAATTCTGGTCATCCCAATTAAATACACCCCTACCTTATGGTGATAAAATAATAATCCATCACATTTTGTAAAAAGACCACCATTCAAGTTCAGTCCCTTTTCTATATAATTCTAATAATAAATGTCTCATGTTGATATTATAAAGTTTTGATGATGATTAAAAGAAACTTGAAAGTTTTTAATCAATACCTACTTCTTCAATTGCTGCCACTAGTCTAGGTCAAGTGTACAAAAGTTCGGTTGAAGTACTCTGGCTAGGTTGTTGCGTGAAGGTCCAAACACCTGGTATTGAAGAAGCTATAGGGCTGGATTTTTATCTTATAAGAGGTTTAGGTTTCTTCATAAATAAACATGTTGAAATAATTATTAGTGATGTTGTTGCTCTTATTTACTAATTCGCTCAGATAGCTTACCAAGAGATCATTTATATGCAGGTTAGTTTTTTATATTATTTTGCCTTTCTACCTTTTCCTAAATTTACCTTCTCTTAGAAGAGGCAATCCTAGGATCACTGTTCATTTTTGTCACCCTCGTTTTCACACTAGAATTGGTTTGGAGTTTGCTTCTTTTCACGCGTAAAATGGTTACTTTATTTTATTTACTTTTGAGTTTAAACATTAATATATTATGTTCCCATGAATAGAATAATTTAAATAGTAATCCATTTTTTTTTAAATTTTTAATTCAAATTAGCAACGGAAATAACAACAGAAATCCATTGCTAATCATCGACAGATTTAATCGGTAGGTAAAATATGCGATGAAAAAATTTGTTGCCAATGGCATTGCTAATTAGCTACGAAATAAGTCGTCAATTAATGACGCTTATTCATCGCTAATTTAAAGATGTCTAAGAAATCCGTTGCTAAATTAGCGCGAGAGTTTCACTATCAGATTTTCCGACGGATCGATTCCGTCGGTAATGGTTGTTAGCTACAAAATTTAGGGCATTGACAACGGAAATTTCTATCTCTGAAGCTGCTCTTTTTTGTGGTGATTTCACTCGTTGTGTCTTTACTCTTCTTGGTGTAATTTTGCCGTTCTTGGCCTGCTTTTTGATATACAGACTGAAAAGGTTCAAGAAATACGGTGAAAAAGAAAAAAAAAAAAAATCAGAGTCCAGGTATCATTTTTCAAGTAAACTTTATTTCCCTTCCTTTCTCTTCTCTCCTTTCCTTTTGAGTAGGTCGTGGTGGTAGGTATCTACTGAAGTATGTTGATATGGAATTACCAATAAGCCTAAAATGGATTTTTTTTTTCTGGGCTGTACTATGGATATTGATTGTACTTTTTGTAATGTTCTGTTGACAATAATTTATTTGGATGTACATAAGTAGAAGCTGGAAGAGGGATCTCATTAGGTCCTATTTTGGATAAATTCGCTTCTTTGAGAATTGGAATAAAAAAGGATTCAGCTGGTGATCATATCGAGTACCCATTGTCAGTAGCTGCTACAAATAATTTCCATGAAGACAACATTCTTGGTGAAGGTCGATCAGGGCACGTTTATAAAGTCTACTTGACAAAGACTTTCATGCAGCCGTTAAAAACCTATTTGCTGTTGGGCAGGTGGCTCCGTAGCTGAAAGAGAATTTGAGGTAAATTTTTGCAAGTTTGATTCTATCTTCTGAAATTTGTTTAATCTTATGCAGTTTTTCATTACGGATTTATTTCAATTAATTTTGCAGAATAAGATTCAGCATCAGAACATTGTTTCAATTTTGGGGTACTGTATTCATGGAGAGGGGCACTGTCTCGTCTATGAAATGATGCACGACGGCTCTCTGGAATTGAAGTTACATTCTAATGATATTGTCTCCACGAACGGCATGATTTTGACAAATAGAATGCTAATCAAATTTTTGGAGTTTTTAGAAGATTTATTTTGTTGTTCAATCTTTTGGATTGTAAAAAGTCCTCATTTAAAATATAAGAGTAAATATAATATTTATTTAAAAATTTGTGAAAAAATTATATTCAAGGACTCCAAAATTCTTAGGACCGACTCAGGCTCCAATCTTCATTACACGCATTGTCACACATTCAATATTAAATATGAGTGAATGCTCAACAAATAATAGCATGTGTCATCATATGCATGCGCGTGATTTTCAATACTTCTCCTCATTATAATCTCATTCTCGAAGTTTGCGTATTTTCTCTCTATCTTTTCTTATTCATTTTTTTTTAACTCTCTGGGCTTGAATTCAATTATACAATCCGACCTAAAAATCGATATGACCAATAACATGCGTGCTTCCTAGTGCTCGTGGGTCCATCTTCACCCACTAAGACTTAGTGGGTCGTAATTTTATCCGTCTTGTACATTGTCTCTTGTCTATTGCACCAAGAATTACTATAAATCTAATTCATACTTGGCCTATGTATATGATATCTCGTTGTGTCGATTCCACCAAGAAACCTCTGACGGCATCCATATATCGGCATCAAACCTCCTAAAAATTGTCATTGATTAACCTCAATGATAGTTGAGAACTTAAAGCGGCGTATCTATCTAGACATGGAGTATTGTAAGGTGCATCAGCTGGGAGATTCTATTATACTAAATGTTATCCTTTCATTTCAGATGGCATATCTAAGTATTTATCATTATCCCTCTTTTACTAGTATTATTTTTGTTTTTATCAGTTATGCACGTCTACTTCTTTTACGTTCGTGTGTGTGTAATTTCACAATATCCAATGTACTATGCATAAGTCATAATTGCCAGCATTATTCAAATGAATATCCATGTTACTGTATAATTGAATTTATCTTCAACACTCCAATTGTCCACGAAATTTAGCAACATTATCATATTCCATGTACATTTCACAAATAGCACAACTAAATTAATCATATAGGAGCACAGTATAATATAAATATTATTAGTTTTCATTGTAGTTGGGCCTTAAACATTTTCCCTTGCCTATCACAGCAGTCACGGCTTCATTCCTTCACATTTCGTACAAACGATTCACTTGGAGTTCAACAATCGAAGATTTATCCTATATATCATATATATGGTTAAATACCATCTAAACGAAGTCCATTGAGGCTAAAGTTACCAAATACAGATTTCAAAGTCCATGACTCTCATTCAGTGCGGACACAATTTTGCCGAACATCAATTTGGCCGAACACCGAATGTCCACATTGGTTATCTACTCCTCTTCTCCTTCTTTTTACCAAATTGTACCATATCAAGGATCAACTTAATATCCTCGTTTCCCAATTATTCTAATCTAACAACTATCAAAACTACGAAGCCTTTAGGATTGCTGTTGATAACTTGAAACCCTGCAATTTGGTATCATAAATTCTAAGCACCTCTAAACTCACTTACAGTTTAAGTGTTTAACTTCTTTTGAAATTGATGGCTTCTGAACTGGAATTAGTAGAAAATATGGTAATAACAGAATAACGACCTTAGGAAGATTAACAGAAGTGCAGCCAATATATTTGATAAAATTCCAAACGGGTTAATTTCACAAACAGTCACTGAACTTACCTAAAAATTTCAAAACGGTCACTGAAGTTACAAACTTACAGAAACGGTCACTATTTAGGAAGGTTTCACTAATGGTCACTCCGTTAAGTTTAGGGCCTTATGATTTTAATTCAAACTTAAAGGACCAAAACATATTAACACACAACCTTGAGGAGTGCAAATTTCATCTAAAAAACCCAAAACCCAGAAACGAATTAGGACCACAGACAGGAGGATTGGGGATTTTCTTCAAGGGTGGCTACCCCTCTGTTTAACCAATGATTTCTTCATCCTCAAAAACTAACAGCCCTTAAAGAGACAGCAGAGGAGAAACTTTTCTTCCACACATACAATCCCACAACTACTCAATCATTCTATCCATCTTCTGTAAGTACGAGTGCTCAGATTTAGATCTTGTTTGCCTGATCTATCGTCTTCTTTGCCGCCGAAGCCGCTGCTCCTCCATCCCCATTGCTCCCCGATTCCGACCCTTTTGGGTGTCTTGGTTTTTCGGCCGGAGTGTGCGGCTGAGCCCGCATTCTCCGACTGTCGATTCTGCGAGGAGGAAACCCTGAATGTGATGGCCTGCAAGGTGACCCCCATAAGAAGGCCAAGTGTGGTGCTTCTGTCATGGAAAAATGAACCTGTAGACTACAATTATTCACACAAAAAAGCCCCAAATGTAAATAAATTGTTAGCATGAAAAATTGAGGGTGCAGGATCAAGAAAATTGCACCTCTGTGTGAAGATCATAAGAAGAAATGGAGGAATGTGTGGGGGAGGAAGCCAACAGATCATTTGCTGGATCCATCTCCTTTTGTGTGTGAAACAGTTTCTGGGTTTTGAGAGTGAGATGTGGAATTCTTGTAATTTTGAGTGATTTGTGATGTTGGAACTGTTGAGATTTGAGGATGGCTTATAAGTAGTACTGTACTATTAATTTCCAGCCAAACATGAGGTTCAAGGTTTTTTAGATGAAATTTGCACTTGAGGTCCTCAAGGCTGTGTGTTAATGTGTTTTGGTTCTCTAAGTTTGAATTAAAATCATAGGGCCTAAACATAACATAGTGATCATTAGTGAAACCTTCCTGAAATTTCAGTGATAGTTTTTGTAAGTTTGTAACTTCAATGACCGTTTTGAAATTTTTAGGTAACTTCATGATCGTTTGTGAAATTAACCCAATTCCAAAAAGAAAGAAGGCGCGTATAGCAAATGATTCGTTACCTTCATACAGCTAAATCTAATGCAAATTAACAGTTTGTAAAACAAACATGAACCATTGAGTCTGGAATTCCAGTGACACAACCCTTTTGTCCAAGCAGCTGTACGCACATCATCGCCGGAATTGTATCCCGATTGACGCATCTCCCAAAAACTGCCCGCATTACCATTGATGGGGAACGTCATATTGGAAGAATCCATTGCCTTAATTGACTCCAATGCTCTGTTTTACCTCAATACCGGAAACCCTCGAATATCTTCTTTTACAATTCAACGCCAATAGCTTTAGTTGCCCTGATTTGCCATATAATGGTTCAGAAAAATCAAAATCTATCGTGAAGGTACACAAATTCAATTTTAGACTTAGAATCCGTCATTTTCTATGTATCAAATCATTAAAATGAATAAAAATAATAACAAGAAGTCAACTCTGTAACCAAGCACGAGATTGAAAAGACCTGCTGTATAGTGTCGTGATTGTGGTATCCGACTGTGTAGCGACAGAGCTAGAAGTTTAATGGCTGAGGCGCTCTTAGGTGGAGATCGGAGGAGTGACAGAAGAATGGGTTGAAAATTAGGTTGGAATGAATGGTATTGAGTTGGATTAGAGTCTTAATAGGTATTAGGTTGAATGGTATTGGGCTTTTCACTTCTTATTTGGGCATTTGGGTTGTGTGGGCTAGAAGTTTAAAAGAAAAAAATTATTTAGAAATTTGGGCTAGACCCAAAAGTTCAGTGCTTCCTATGCCCGCACTATTCCTGAATTGGCTCCATCCCTGTGAGATGGGGTCCACCAATGCATTGAACATGTGAAAAACTAGGGTGCCAAAATTAATAAGAGCTCTTCAGAATGAATATAATATCCTACATATATAAAAAAACGAAAGAAGTCTTGGACACGTGTCACAAAAAGTGTATCGTCATTTGATTTTTTATTTTTTATTTTTTTTGCTCTCACTTCATTAGCTAAAAAGCCCATTGCCCTCCTTGTCCATTCTTCCACTCAACCTACCACTCCTGCACTACTCTTCTTCTTCATCTTCTTTTCCTTCTTTCCAAAAATCCAAACAATTGAAATCTGTCTGAATTATAATTTGCAAAAGAAGGCTAAATTGCACATATTATTGTTCTGGGTTCATTAGTTATTCCTATGTAAGTTACGCGATTACTTTCTTTCTATCGATTCAAATAAAATCAATCAAATTTGAAAATTTTAATTCAGTCGGGTTTGAACACGGATTGCATTGGTGGGCAGAGAAGTCTTCGCGAGACTCCGCACTGCACGGAGATTGCAGTGCGAATTAAATGAATTGCAAGTCTAGATGATTAGGGTGAAGTTGTTTTGCGGAAGTTATCTATTTCTGTTTTTCTTTCTTAATTTTTCATTCAACAAATTGATACTTTAATTATATTGCAGTATTGGATATATGAAGCATTTCTAGATATTGGACAAATTTGGACGACGTAGATTTAAAATATTTACAGAGTCCACGAATGTACAAATGAAAGTCAAACATTTAAGCAAAGCATTACAGAGTCCACGAATGCACAAACGGTTAAGCAATTTTTGGCTACTCAAGAGGGGTGTGTGTGTGTGTGTGTGTGTGTGTGTGTGTATCCCCATACTAGAGCGCTATGCAGAGAGAGAGAGATTGCTCTCCACGCCGTGCTGCGTAGAGATATCTAGTCTTCGCGCATATCCAATTTTTTCCCCACCCTATTGAAACTTCCTCTACTCCTTAACCTTAAAACTTGCAACTCTCATTTTTTCTTCTACATGCCTTCCTTCTCAACTTCCTGATATTTGGAGAAATTTTAGGGTTGTTAGTTTTTGTAAATTTTAGTCAAATTTTGGGTAAATTCCTTCATTTAGGTCTCGTTTATGCGTTGTTTCCTTTTTTGGTAAATTTTGTTTTGATTATATCTCGGTCAATTTAAGTTGGATTTGAATTCCATTTGTTGGAGGATAATTCTTAAGATTAGGATTCTCAATTTTAGTCATTATCTTGATTTTTTTTTTCATTTTTGGAAAAACAAAATCTTTTATTTTATTTTATTTTTTTCCGAATTTTTCTAGGGCTTTTGCTATATAAAGCATTGTAAATGATTGACTGACAGAAATAAAAATTTTTGGGAGTTCTTTTTTCTCTTTTTTTTTTTTTTTTTTTTTGGTTTTGGGCTTGGG